TATTACAGACTTCTATGTAATCCTTACTTAGTTTTCCCCAATATTATCATTTTACATTACCATGGTCCAGCTGCCAAAATAAGAGTCAATGCTGATACATCACTATGAATTAAAGTCCAGACTTCAGAATTTACCTGTTCTGGATTTTTTATAATAAAATCAGAGCAAGTCATTATAACCGAGCTGCCATTTTCTTTTTCTTTCTTTTTTTTTTGATTGAACTCAAGGGCACTTGACCACTGAGACTCATCCCTAGTCCTATTTTGAATTTTATTTAGAGACAGAGTCTCACTGAGTTGCTTAGCACCTCACCCTTGCTGGGACTGGCTTTGAACTCCTGCCTCAGCCTCCCAAGCCATTGGGTTCATAGGTGTGTGCTACCGCACCTGGCTTAAACAGCTCTTTTCTTTTTTCTTTTGTGGTGCTAGTGATTGAACCCAGGGCCTTGTGCATGAGAGGCAAGCACTCTACAACTGAAGTATATCCCAGCCCCTGAGCTGCCATTTACTGAAACAGGTATAAAAGATTGTAATTACTTTAGTCTCTAGATTAAAACAGATGGTAAAACCAGGACATATCTTTTTGAATATTATTTCCTCCTTTAATTATTTTAATGAATTCATAAGAAAGAAGTTCCTTCAAGATGATTTTATCATTACAAATTTTTACAGAGGCTGAGGATACTGCTCAGTGGCTCAGTGGTAGAGTGCTTGCCCAGCAGCCTAGCATGTATGAGGCAAGGCCCTGGGACTCTTTACCTAGATACCTGCAAGCTAATTCATACCGTGGAATGGAAATAAAACGACAGCTGCTTTATTTCATAAAGCCAACAAGGCCAAAACCAATACATTTATGCCTTCTTAATAAATTTTTTTTTCCCCTACTAGGGTTAAAACTGTAGCTGATACAATGTAACCATATTTGGAAACTAAAAAAAAAAAAAAAAAATTAGGGAACTCTCACTTTAATTCCTTCTTGGGAAACAAAAAAGAAAACACTTTCATTTTTCAATAAGAAACATTGCTTATTCATGCTCATCTTATAAGCTAATTTATTTTCTGCATTTGATGATTTAAATACCCAACTTTCTTACTCCCAGGAGGCGGTACAAAGGCTTCTGCTTGCTCCCTCAGTTTCCCCTTCCCTTCACTGCATTCCTAAGCTCGCCAAAGGTGTGCCTCTGCATGGCCACTACAGGTTTGAAAAGTGTTTGGGACATTTCTTCAATGGCATACAATCCAAAATGTTGGGTTTTGGTATAGATTACAAATGCAGTTTAATTCTTTCTGCTATTCATCATAATTGTGGCTTAAAGAATCCAGTGCGTATTGTACAGAAACACTGGGACATTTTTCTCTTCAACTCCAAGGTAACTAGAAGAAGAAGGTTAAGTGGAACAGTTTCTGTAGGCCCACGCCTGGCATCAGCAGCTACGCCCTAGGTGTGGCTGTGAGCGCTCAATCACCGCTTCCCGTTGTAACTACAGGTTCACATTATACTTAGAAATCTCCTAATGCTTTGAAAGAGGTTTTTCAAACATAGGTGGCCTGTTCACAGATTTCTCACATCCTTCTTATTTTGACAGAATTCAGCACATATGAAGATGGATTCAACAAGCACCAACTTCTTGCCACATTTGTGTGTCTAATACATGTTTTTATTTTTTTTTCCTGAACCATTTGGAACTCAATGTGACTCTTTTGCTCCTCCGAACTCCTCCGAACTCCTCCCTACCTCCCGGTTTTAGTTGTGTCTTCTGTGTACTGGTTCCTTTTCCTAACAACTCCATGTAGCCTTCTTAGGAAAAGAGACTTCCTGTCACTTATGTCTCTCTGGCTGCCACCACCGCCTCCCTGCCTTTTTCACAGCCTCTTTCTCAAAAGGGAAGCCCAGGCTGGCAAAGCCCACAGAACCCGGCTCCTCTTTTTGGCACTGCACACTGTTGCGCACCCTCTTGAAACCGGCTCCCCAGCCAGCGCACCGTGTGCCCTAAGACTCCTGTTTCTCCAGCAGCTCTGCCCAGAACCTCGGCCAGCTCCCCCTCTGCTTACCCTTGAGCCTGGGCATCAAAACTGTCCATCTCCATCCTTATCTCAAATCGAGAGCTGGAACGTTCTGCCCCTTATGAAAGGAATTCCAGGCATGGGGAGGAGAGAGAGAGAGAGAGACTCTTTGATGTGACAGGACCTACCGGAATGTCTGGCTTATGAGCTATTCCCTCAAGTCTCCACTACAGTTTGTATTTCCTGGTCTTTATGGGTAGCGATTCCAGAGGCTACTCAAAGAAAGGAATGTAGATAAGAAGCAGAAATGATCTCACCTGCTACTGGCTTAAGAAAAGAGGTGGTAGAGAGCAAAGCACTCCATCTCTCTCCATTGGGAAGCTGTGACATTTACATGTGATAAATTCCTGTCTCCAGTTCCATGGACAACTCAAAGTTGTCTACACACAACTACTACACTCCCCGTGTGTGACTACTACACACCCCATTCATAGGTCAAATGTACAACGAGCACATTGATTTCTGACCGTCATGCTTCAAAGAGCAAACTGATCTGTGTTGCTTGCTTGAAACATCTAATCTTTTAAGCATCAAAGAAAAATGCATGTTCAGCTCCCTGAACTACCTGAATGACAGGTTGACTGTTCCTTAGGAGTCTGTCACTGTGAAGGAGGAACTAAGCCTGAGCCGAGGGACAGTGAACCCTTGAGACACAGAGAAAGAACCAGTGAGCAATGCTGACCATCAGAAAGAAACCAGGAAGGGAGAAGGCAGAACCCTCTCAGGTGGTTTCTCTCAATGGAGGTAGACACTTAAGTCAACAAAATGCAGAAAACAAATAAGCTCATTGAGCATTGAGAAGAGACATGTTTCTTATTGGAAATATAAGCTTTAAAAAAGAAATCAGATTTTTTCCCCCTGTTTAAAAAAGTATGATCACCATGTCATTGTCACACCCAGGAAAATTTATAAAGAATCCCATTAAAGGTGGCATGTGACTTTAGTTCCAGTGACCCAGAAGGCTGGGGCAGAAGATTGCAAGTTCAAGGACAGCCTCAGCAACCTATTGAGACCCTCAGCAACTTAGTGAGACCCTGTTTCAAAGTAAAAAATAAAAAGGACAGGGGATGTAGTTCAGTGCTAAAGAGCCCTTGGATTCAATCCCCAGTACCAAGAAAATAAAAATAAAAAATTATAAAAGATTCCTTAACAGCATATAGTATTGCGGGATTTTAAAATCTCATAATTTATTTTGCTCTGTTTTCTTTTTTCAGTGCCAGGTGCATGCTTGGCTATGCCAACACCACGGAGCTGTCTCCACAGCAGGTTAAGCTTTTCTGTGAAGGCCAGCATCCTGGGTAGAGCAGGATTGGGCAGACAGCACGTTGATCTAGAGTGCCAATATCCCATCCAATGCAGAGATCAGTTAAACTCTCCTGTCAGTGTATTATTATTATTATTATTATTTTAGAGATGAGGGCCTCCCTATGCTGCCCAAGCTGGCCTCCAGCTAGCTCCTAGGCTCAAGCGACCCTCCAGCCTCAGCCTCTCCAGTAGCTGGGACTGTGTGTTCAGCTTTGCTAATTTTCAACAAATTTGGGTCTAGCAAGTCCACTTCTAAGGATCCACCCTGCGGGTGCACTCTGACAGATGGAGAACTGGGCAGTAAAAGGTGCTTACTTACCATGGTGAGCTCCTAACACTGCACTTGACATCCAGTCCTCACAAGAACCTGAGGATGGCTCTAGACTCACCATTTTATACTTAAGGAAGCTGAGTTTGGTACAGCTAGTCATTTCCCGACAGGCAAAGGGTTAGTAAGTGACAGTAGAGGTGACAGACTCAGTCAACCTGGCTCCCGTGTCTCTGCTATACGGAAGTCCACAGGGCCACTGTTTGTGACAGAGACAGGACAAACCTATATCACCCTGATTTGGAGACTGGGAAAACAAAGCATAGCACGTGCACACCATGGAATTCAATGCAGCTTGCAAAGAAGGGAACAGAACTACGTATCCTGACACGGAAAGTTCTCCAGAAACCCAGGATGTGAGCAGGAAAAGCAAGGGCCCAGAAAATTGTGCATCCGGTGTCCACAACTGTCTGTGAAAATGGAAGGTACATTTTTATACTCTAATCAGAGAAGGACTGATGAGAGAATTTTTAAGCATATATCTTTTAGTACTGTTACTGTATTAATATGAATTCTTTTTCAAAAGGTACATGAAAATAAACAGACACACACACATACACAAACATGTATAAAGTGCTTGGAATGCAACAATAGTGGCTAACATTTATTGAGCACAATTCTGGATATTTTACATGTGTCATCTCATTGGATATTCAAAAGAACCCTACTAAATAGTATTATTCAGAATGTGGTTGCAAAAAGGAATTTGTCCCACTGAAACAAAGCGCCTTTGAAACTAAAAGCTCCGAAGTGTTTTAGCTCCAAATTTCCTCATGCTGAGAATGGATAGTAAGAACACCCTCCCCCCCCATTCCCGCCTGGCTGGGGTGGGAGCCAGGGAGACTGAACAGTGACAAGCCCTCTGGCCAACGCGGCTAAGTCTGCAGTCTGCATGTGTATTCCCTGGCTTGTTTCTATAAATCGGAACCATTTCTATAGGACTTAGAAGCAATCTAGCTGCTTTTCCCCAGCTGGATCAAACTGCGTTAAATTCATTTTCTTTTTATATCATTGGCTTATTTCTCATGCTGGCGGCCAGTCAAATCCAGCCAGCCAGGATCCAGGCAGGGTCCCCTGGCCTGCTGGTAAGAGGAGGTGGCCCAACCAGGAGGCAGAAGCTAAACACTGACAAGCTAGCTTCAGGGCCAGTGCTCCTAACTCCCATCCAATAAATGATCCCTATTCTTTTGTAGTTAGTTCATTTTAATGTATGACCAATCAAAGCTCCCGAGTTCCTTGTTTGTTTTATGAGTTGTTGCCTGCTTGTCCTTTCCTGTTTTTGCATATTAAAAAAAAAATCGAAATGCATCTCTACGTTTATTCAGTCCACCTGCTGGTTTGAGACCAAGATGCCAACACGTGAAGTCAGAGCTTTAGTTAGGGCGCCGATCTCTCCCTCCCAGGTTGGAGTCATTTTCTAACTCCACCCGCACTTCTGTGCTAACGTGCAAATTACCAATGAAGGGCAGCGATGGGTAGAGCTTGGAGAGGTGCCACAGAGACTCCTGGATGGGTCGACTCCGACGCTTTTGCTCACGGCACTGAGGATGGTTCCAGCTCTGAGTCATCCCCCATCCCTGTGTCTTCATCTTGTTCCCAAGGACATGAGAGTTCTGCTGCCTTCCACTGATTTACCGCCAGCGGGGCCTCCAGGCCCACCTCTTGTTGAGGACTCTACAGATCAGACAGAAGGCCTCTCCCAGCGCCTCACTCTTACTCAGATCTCTGCAAACTTCTTGCACCACCGTGCAGTTGGTTCCAATGGGCCAACAGCCCATTTCCAACTTCTAAGTCCTCAGAGCATATGCACAGATTCCTTCACTGTCCCAGAGAGCATCTCACCTGGTTCTAGGCAGATTGATTAGGACATCTGCCTTCTCACCGATGCCCTCACAAACTCTAGCTTCGATTTGTTTTCTTTGTTACGACTTTGAAGATTACTAAACCTTGCTGTACAGAGACAATGGAGAAAACGACATTGGTTATTTTCCTTTCTCTCTTTCTCTCTTAACATTTATGCGGACACCATCAAAGCAGCAGGGAAGGCTGCTCTTCTGGAGTGGCCTTTTTCTCACCTCCATCCCAATCCCCTCCAGGAGGAGAAGACTAATCAGACTGATGGCTTCTGAGGTAGTGGTGCGAGGGGTCACTGGAGTGCCTGGGATGGTGTCCTCTGCACAGACCGGCCATTTGCTCTTTGACTCTGTTTACATAAACCTCCAGCACACCCTCACTCCCCCTTGGCCCTGAGCCTAAACTGTGCACTGCAGAGGTGTGCCAGCGAGCCCTGGGGAGGCACTTACAGGAAAGAGGAACTGAATAGCACCTGCTCTGCTGTGCTGTGCCCTTGGGACCTCCCTTCAGACCTCAGGGGAAGCAGGGCTGGGCCACGCGGGAGGCAGGCTTCTAGACCTTCCAGCCTGTGGTCTGGGCAAGGAAGGACCCACGCTTGGTTTAATGCTGTGCTGTCACCATCTTGAAATTATTAAGACTTTCTTAAACAAGGGAACTCGGACTTTCACTTAGATTCTGGGCCCTGCAAATCATGCAGCTGGTCCTCACCCAGCCCTAAAGGCAGTCAATCCCACCCTTACTTCTAAAAATACCTTCAGCCTTTACTGGAAAGGCTCTGACTTGCAGTTCCTTCCTGGCATGAGCTTTCAAACACTGTTCTTGTAGACTGTCACCAACGCTGCTGCATGCATTTTAGGGAAAGTGTGCTCCCTCCCCCTTTTGTATCAATCCTTTAAAATTCTCGACTCCTAGGAAAACCATGCTCACCTAGGAATCTGAAGGTGCCTCTCTCCTCTCATTGAGATTACCCACAATTTAGGCTGGAGCTTGTTCTTCTAATTTACTGTAACACTTTTGGAATCTTAAATCATGGGATATATCCTGCTGCTTTTTTTTGGGGGGGAGGGGTACCAGGATTGAACTCAGGGGCACTGGACCACTGAGCCACATCCCTAACCCTATCTTGTATTTTATTTAGAGACAGAGTCTCACTGAGTTGCTTAGCACCTCACTAAATTGCTGAGGCTGGCTGTGAACTCCCCATCCTCCTGCCTCAGCCTCCTGAGCCACTGGGATTACAGGTATGTGCCAGAGCATCCGGCTTATCTTGCTACTTTTTATTAAATGTTTTCCAATCTATTTTCGGAAGAATTTCTTCATATCGAACCCATAAAATCCGAAAAGGGAAAAAATGCAATGAACAAATGTGTAACACAAATAAGAAATCATGTAACTTCCCCTAATCTCCTTTCATCTGCGGCCCCTGCCTTGTTCATTGGTAAGTCTGTTTAGCTGTGCCTTGCCTGCCCTAGGGAAGCCCTCGTCACTCACACGGGAGGACATGATGCACACACCCGTCTCAAAAGCATTGGGCAGTCTTTCCTGAGAAAACAGCCTTTCTTGGAAGGGTAGAAAATGTCTTCACCATCTTTAACAGATTGATTCCTTGTGATTTCAGCTTACAAATTTGTTAACCACTGAGAGTAAAGTTAGTCAGCAAAAGACAGCCTTCAGGTGAATCCCAACCAGAGGCTATTGTTGTGCTGCCTGAAGGTGAAGAATGATTTTTATATCTTTTTAAAGGTTGTGACAAAGAACAAACACAAAAGGGTGCCACAGAGGGAGTGAGGGTCAAGTTCATGGCAACTCAGACCCTGTCTCAGAAAAAAAATAAAGGATTGTGGGTGTGTAGCTCAGTGGCTCAGTGCCAGAGTAGCCCTGGTTTCAGTCCCCACTACCACCAAAAAGAGACAGCCTAAAATATTTACTATTTGGTCCCCTTACAAAAAGATTTGCTGAATCCTGTTCTAGGGGACAGTAACACCTTGCCTTCCCTCTCCACTATGAAGTCATGATAGAAAAAGAAAAAAAAATACCCTGTGCTTCAGCAAAAGGAACTTGTGGTTTTTAAAATAATTCTATAGGAGAACCATTGATTTGGACTAAGTTCCTGCACAGGCCCCAAAAGATCAAATTAAAAGGGAAACACCGATGCTAACCACCCAGGCCAAGGCAAGTCGAGAGAGAGGGGCAAGTCCCACCCAGGCAGGTTCTGGCTGGCAGGATAAGAAAGTCCCCTCTGCCTTCACCTTCACAAGGAAAGCCAAGGTCACATTTGCTCCTCATTCTGCTTCCTTCAGCTCTTTTCTCTGAGTGCTCCCTGCCCGGCTGCAGCGGGGCGCGCTCTGAACCTCCGCTGATTCCCAAGGCTGCCTGACTCACAGCTGTTCTCTGCTGAAATTCTATTACATCTATGTGGTCTGAAGTCTTTCTGTTGGCCAGGTCTCCACCTCCACTGCCCTCAGCTGTGTTCCTTCTCCCTCTCCACAGCAGCCATCTCTGCTCCCACCACCTGGAGAGCCTTCCCTGAGCTGTCTGGGAGCCCAGAGCCTGCTCTGAGGAGAGCAGTCCCATTCCGGCTGCCCTGCCCAGAAGAAAGGCCACCCAGCTTACAGGGAGGCTGACCCCTCCAAGAGGGTCCCCAGGAAAAGGGCCTGCGGAGATGCTCCCTAGAGCGAGTGTTGGCCGACAGGACCACCCCGTCAGCTTAGTGAGTGGAAACGCCTGGGTGAACTGGGAGCAGGAGAGCCCCCGCCCCAACCTAGGTTGCTCACTCAATTTCCAGAGGCCGGTCGATAATCTTGATTTTAGAAGGCCTGGGCAGAGGGACTGGTGAGCCTCAGGGTGTCTCCAGGCTGTTTCGGGCCCTGCACATCCTTGCCTCTCACTGGTGTTTCTTGGATCTTCAGGAGACTCATTGAGAACAGGCCTGGCCTGCACCAGCTTTCCTCCCTGGCAGGTAGCCTTGCTCCCATTACCTGCACCAGCCTCAAACTTGCCCTGACTGAGCATCCTTCAGGCCTTTGGCTACAGCATCAGCCTATCCTAGTGGTCCGTGAGGGACTGAGAAGACCCCCCTGGGAGCAGGGAATGAAGCTGTGTTGTCCATAGAGATATAAAAATCAAAGCCAGTAGGGCGCAGTGGTGCATACTGTAATCCCAGAGACTGGGGAGGCTGAAGCAGGAGGATGACAGGTTTTGAAAAACCAGCCTCTACCTCAGAGCAAAGCCTGTCCAAGGAAGGGACATGACCTTTGTCCTTGGAAAGACCCACAGAGCACTCCTAGGCACATTCCCACCTGCTAAGTTGTTTATCTACAAATAACAGGAGAGATCTGCTGCGCCAGGTGTCCCTGACTCAGTCAGGCTAGGTGGGGATACATAGCAACCCCCTAGCAAACACCAATCAGCATGAGACAGGGAAATACCTGGGATGCCAGATGACCCTCCCAGTAGTTTATGGTGGTTGATACCATGTAGTTCAGCATGAACACCCCTCTTGGCTTAAACCAATCATTTCAAATGAATCCCCCTCTTGTAGCAACCAATCACCCCTACCCAACTTGTTCCCGCCAGTGAGTGTGCTAATCATGTTTTAGAGTTGTTATTTGATTTTCCCGCGGTGTGTGATGATTTGCTAAGAGATGCTATGATGAATGTGAAGTCCCTGCCTTCCCCAAAGAATGTATAAAACTGCTGCAAATCCTGGGCTCAGGGCCTCTCAGCATCACAAGTTGCTGTGTGTGTGCGCGTGGAGGACTGAGCTAGCTCGCAGTAAACATCTCTTTGCTGCTTACATCGATCCTGGTCTCTGGTGGTCTTTTGGGGGTCCCGAATTCGAGCATAACAGTTTGAGGCCAGCCTCAGCAATTTAGTGAGACCCTGTCTCAATCTAAGAAAGGACTGGGGATATGTCTGAGTGGTAGAGTGCTTGCCTCGTATGTATGAGGCCCTGGGTTCAAAAAGCTTAACTCACATAATTATATGTACAAAGTCCAATAACAGAACATATTCACATTTGTTATTTCTGAAAATAATTTTGCTACGTAATGGGAAGAGAGTGTGTGTGTTACAAAGTGATCCCCTTTGGGTGTTCTATAAACTAGGAGCTGGCTTCTGGGACCCCACACCCACCCCAGCCCGCCTGCTTTTAGCTCCAGTGCTTGTCAGGCTCACCTCTCTCTCACCTACGCCCTCTTCTCTCCCTACGTACTGACTTCTTCCCGCAGCAGCCACGCCCTCAAGCCCACTCCCACGACCTGGTCTTCCCCTCAGTGCTGGATCTCACCAGTGTCCTGCACTCGCTAACTCCATCCTGGAGCCCCTGCACTGCGAGCCCTGCACCCACCACACTGCCCATCTTCTCCGACCAGATCCAACAGCAACGTCTTACTGATGAAGTCATGGATTCCTTTCTGTGTGCATTAGATCACTTGACTCTTGACGGTGGATCCTTTTCCTTAGCCTGTCTCTTAGTATCAACAGTCCTCAGGGTTGGGGTGGAGCCTTCTCGTGTCTTCAGCACAATCTCTCAGGGGAACTCTCACTTTCAGGACAAGGACATCAGGCCCAAAGAAGTGGAGCGATCTGTCCAAGGTCACATCCTGTGATAGTGTCAGAATTCCTTCTGCTTAAGTCTGTCAGGTGCTTAGACATTGGGCTGGAAGCCAGGGACACAGATGCCAATAGAGGCCTTTGCAACCCGCATGGCCCTTCCCCTCCCCGCCACTCCCGCCTGGCCCCACCTGTAAGTTTCCACTTACCTTTGATCCTCCAGGAGACTTCCTGACCACTGGGAGGGCTGGAGCGGCTCTTCCGGTTCCCTTCCATTCTCACATTGCTGAGATGCCCTCTGTTCTGTTCTCCCACTGGGCCTCGCTTTCTTGTAGGTCACAGGATTTTCCTTCTGGTTGAGCTGAGAAGAGCAGAACAGCCACATCACCAGGTCACCAGGAGCCGCAGCAACCCTTTCGTTTCCCCAGGAAGGCCAACAGTCCCTCCGCTGAGGGAGGGCAGCAGGACCCAGGCCAGTACCTGCATATGGTGATTACCCAGAAGCTGTCTGTTTTAGGAACAGTGAATTCAGGAACTGCTTGACTTTATGTTAAATGTTGGAGAAATGTCATCTTTCCCAGGCAGAGAAAAATAATGCAGAAAGAGTGTTATTTTGTTTGGAGGTAGACAAAGGACTAGCTGACTTCTGGCTGTCCCTACAATCCCGCGAATCCATTTCATTTCACATGGTCCTCATGTGGGGAAACAGAATCCATTTTTCTTTGTCATTAAAATTCTAAAGAACATTATATAGATGTTAATGAAAGTCTAGTTTGCTCATCAGGTGAGAAAAATCTATGTAGATTGGTAGATGAGTCTTGCAAATTCAAGGTCTGCTTTTCATTAGATTAGACAGCACTGCCACCTTGTGGGTGCTGAGAGTTCCTCGTGGAGCTGCGTGCCACGGCTATTTCTTGGTAAATTACTGTGAATAAGGTCATTTGCATTCTGAAATCGAATCTAAACAGGGTACTTCAAGGAGAATTCTGTGGCCTGGTATTTACTGTCACTCAGGAATTCGGGCTCACTACTTATAAAGGCAGAGATTTCCAGTAAGAAAAGTTCAATACTCCTTTGTATTTTTTTTCTTTACAACACAGTCCCAGGAAGGGTGTACTGCAGTACTGTGTCCATGTCCAACACGTGCTTGAATAAATTATTTTCTCTATGTGCTCGCATTATCAAAGTGGAACACAGGGTGGCTCTTTTTTCCTTCATTTCCTTCCTCCCTCCCCTCAACACTTTTTTTTTCTTTTTTTTTTTTGGTGTGTGTGGTGTTGGGGATTGCGGCCAGGACTGTGCGTGCCAAGCAAACGCTTTACAGCTGAGCTGTATCCCCAGCCCTCATTTACTTTTTTAATTTATAAATATTTCAAGCAGAGAGTGAAGCTGAGAAATGGGTAAACACCTAAATGCCCAGTACCAAGGTTCTACCATTAACATCTTACTGTTTACTTTAAATATCCTTCTATCCATCTTGTGTTTAAGCATT